CGGGCAGTGCTGGGGTGGAGCCGCGAAGTTTTGCCGGAGGTAGAGGCGCGGCGGTAGCGTTGGCAGAGCTGTCTGGCCCGAAGCCAGAACCTTGGCTTGGGAAGCCGGGGACAGGGCCAGATGCTCCCGCTGTGAGATGGGGCCGGGGGCCAAGGGGCGTGGTCGGGAGGTTGCCCTGGCAGATCGGGGTTGGTGCCAGAGCTTTGACGGGGAGGACAAGGGGCGGGGCCGGGTTAATAACGCGAGATTGCGGGGGCGGGTCCAGGCTATTGCCTGGGAACCAGGGGGCGGGGCCGGAGGGGAAAGTCGGACGTGAACGCCAGGTTAATTACGCCAGGGTGTGGGCGGGGCCAGAAAGTTGTGCTCTGACCGGGGGCGGGGCCAGGGCCTTGGCTCTTCTGCCGGGTTGAGGTTGGAGCTGTTTCCTTGCTTGGATGGAGGCCGGACCAGGAAGTTTAACCTTACTGGAGTGGGTATTCGCTAGGAGAGTTGAGCCAGGTCCGGAAAGCCTCTCTAAGTGGGTATGGAGCCCATTTTCAGAATCCTTTTTGGAGATGTGGGAGGTGGCCGTGCCTTTGTCAGGATAGCGGAGCGAGGACCTACCTGGGGAGGCATGGTATTAGAATGCTCTCTGAGAGTCGCTGCAGTCTACAGGAGCAGGGTTTGAACTTTGAATGTGGGTTTGGGGACGATTCTGAGAGCTAGAATGTTCACCGGGATGGGAGCGGCACCAGAATGGGAAGGTGGGTGTGGAACTTTATTTTTAAATTTGAGGGACAGAGAGAGAAAGAGAAAGTGAGAAAGCGAGAAAGCAAGCCTCCAGGTCCGGGACTTGAACCATTGTTGGCTATGTGGGAGTCCAGCACCCCTAACCACCACACCACCTACCGGTCCCTAGACCTTTATGTGCATTTGGTAAGAGGGTGCTAGGTGAAACTCTCTTGAGGTAGGGACTTGGCTCAGACTCCCACCACAGGGCCGTGGAGACTGGAGTAGACTCTTTCTTTGGAAGAAAGTAGTGTTAGATGTTTTCTTAAACAGTGGGGTGGGGCCTGGACATTCCCAAGGTGGGTGTGACTACAGAATTTACGTGGGAAGTGGGTGGATCCAGAGGAAAAGTTCCCTGAGAACAGAATCTAAATTACCCAGAGAGGGGTGGGCTTAGTACTTGAAGATCGAATGGAGGGAGGATAAGATGTCTGTTGGGGTACAGGTTTTTAAATTTTCTTTTAATTGCCAGAGGGCCAGTGAGTTCCCCAGAGAGAAAGAGAAGGGAGAGGGAGAAAACACCCCTGAACAGTGCGAAGTCATGCCACAATCCCTTTTGCTCCGTTTCTTTGTCTGGGATCTTGGGCACTCACACATGTCTAGTGTGTCTTTTTTTTCTTTTTTAAATAATTATTTCGGGACCAGCAGTTAGCGTAATGGCTGTGTTGCTGAATTCCCACATAGTCGACCGCAGTTCGAGTCCTGGACCAGGTGACTTAAGCTCATGCCAGGTGCGTGTACGTGCATGCCCAAGATCCCGAGAGGAGAATGGAGGAGAAGGGATTGCGGCATGACCATCTCCCCTGGGGGATGACTTCTCGCTTTCTGTCTCTCTGTCTCTCTCTGTCTGGTGAGCGCACATGCCCTGTAGCAAAAACCTCTCAAAAAAAGAGAATTATTTCAACTTTATTTATTATTATTATATTCCAGTTTGACCTGAGAGAGACAGAGAGAGAGAGGGAAAGTGAGAAAGGAAGCTGCCAGGTCCAGGAGTTGAACCGTGGTTGGCCATGTGGGAGTCCAGCGCCCTTAACCACCACATCACCTGCTGGCCTGTCTAGGGTGTTTTTCAAGCTGCCCGCTCTGGGATTTGCACCCAGTGGTTGCCATGTGGGAAACGGCTCTCTTAACCACCAGGCCAAGGGGTCAGCATGGATACAGGTATTTGTGTGTCTGTGTGAGGAGTCCTCGGTGTGGAGGAGGGATGAAGCAGGCTGTGGGAGAGCATTGGGCTTGATCCTTCTGTTCCCTCTGTCCGCAGGAGCCCCTAGTGCTGCATCCAGATTCCGTAGGTGAGGTTTACTGGAACCCCATCCTGCGAAATGGTGAGTTCAGAAAGTGGGCTCTCTAGAATCTGAACTCTGGAAAGGGGCTTGAGAGGCTGGATCTGGGGGCAGGATCTCAGACTCTGGATTGAGTGGCCCTGGAGCAGGGAGAGGCTTTGTTTCAAAACTCTGTCTCTCTCAACTGCCTCCTGGTCTCAGGCAGCCACCTTGGATTTGAAATCAAAGGAGGAGAAGGATGCTGAGTTGGACAAGAGGATCGAGGCTCTTCGGCGGAAGAATGAGGCCCTCATCCGGCGCTACCAGGTGCCCTAGCCCTGCCCTGGGAGACCCCATCCCCTCTCCTCCCCGCAGTGAGTTTTTCTCACCTCTCCGTTCCTTAAAACCTTTTCATGGTTCCCCATCACTCTCAGGATAGAAGCCAAAAGGCTTAGCTGGGCATCCTTTCTGCATTCCATTATTCATTTGTTCATTCATTCACAAACATTCACCAAGGTCTTCCTGTATCGGGTCTCATGCCGAGTGGTGCTGGAGACAGCCATGACCGAGACAGCCACAGTCCAACCTTGCAGGACTCTCAGCCAGCAGGGAGGAAGCTCTGTCCTCAGTCCGTGACCACTTAGAGTGGACAAGGCTGGTGCGGGGCAATGCAGGGGTCCGTAGGAATGCAGAGAGGACTCCTGACCCAGCTAGGGGACTTTAGGGAAGGCTTCTTGGAGGAGGAGACTCAGACGTAAAAGGTGAGTAGAGGTTAGCCAGTTGAGACAGGGTCATATTTCAGGTGGAGGGAACCTTTCGAGTGAATATTTGGAAGTCAGAGAGAGCTTGGAGTTTAGTTGGAGGGTCAGTTGGTGGAGCACTGGCTGCGGGAGTAAGCAGGGGCCAGGCCGTGAGGCCTGAGTACGACCAGGCCAAGGGTTTGGACTTTAGTCCTGAGGGCACTGGTGGGGGAGGGCCTAGCTCATGGTAGCGTTGTAGAAAGAGTCTGGCTGCTGCATGGTAGTGGATGGAGGCAGTGATGCTGGAGACCAGAGACCAGGGAGGAAGCCAGGGTGGGCACCCTAGGAGGAGAGGGGTAACTGGCTCAGGGCGAGGCTGTCGAAAGGGACTCAGTGGGCAGTGAGGGGGGTGGGGCTGTCTCGAGATGGGACCCTGGAGGAGAAGAGGGTTTCATTTATTCATGTTCATTCATTCATTTGTTAAAACAAAAAGCATGTCGTGTTGCTGTTGTGCGCCAGGCAGTGACCTGGGCTCGGGGTTTCACTGGGGAAGAAAGCAGCCCTCAGGCAGATTCCGATGCAGGGGAGGCAGGCAGTGAGCAAAATGCACGTAATGCCAGGCCCAAACGTGAGGACAGAGAGTGACGGGGAGGCCACGCTGAGAAGGGCACATTGGAGCAGGCTCCTGCAGGAGGTGAGGGATCGATGATCTCTGGAGGGTAGGGTCCTCCTGGCAGAGAAGAGCTAGCGGAAAGGCACGGGGCAGCGCTGCTGCAGGGCTATAGGAATGTAGAGGGGGCTCCTGACGCAGCCAGGGGACGTTAGGGAAGGCTTCTTAGAGGAGACGACTCTGAGGCCTAAAGAGTGAGTAGAGGTTAGCCAGCTGAGACAGGGAACAGCGAGGAGACCAGAGCAAGAGAGAGGCTGAGAGAGAAGGTTGGGGGTGACGAAGTCATTGGCTCTTCCTCTAAGGTGGGCACCGCAGGAGAGCACAGCAAGGGCAGTGAGGAGGTGACCAGCTTTCTTGTCTGTGCTCGGGGGAGGAGCCTGGGCTGGAACCAAACTCAGGAGGAAGTCGGGGGCTGTGGGAGTCTGGCAGGTGGACCGGCCCTGACGCTCCTTCCGTGGCATTTGCTCCTAGGAGATTGAGGAGGACCGTAAAAAAGCTGAACTCGAGGGAGTTGCGGTGACAGTGCCCCGGAAGGGCCGCTCCATGGAGAAGGAGAACATGGCAGTAGAGGTGGTGAGCTCATCGCTGGGCTCGGGGATCCCTGAGGCTAGGGGAGGGCACCCAGGAGCTCCCTGCACCTGCAGACCTGCAGGTGGTCCCACTCCTGGCCGTGGCCCTCTCTGGGACCGGGATGTCCCAGCTTCCCTGCCCCAGTGGCTGTACTTTCTCCTCCCTACTTTTGCAGGAGAGGAGCCTGGGTCCTTCCCGGAGGTCTCCTGGGACCCCTCGGCCCCCAGGGCCCAGCAAGGGGGGCCGGACGCCCCCACAGCACGCTGGCCGGGCAGGCCTGGGCCCAGCATCCCGCAGCTGGGAGGACAGTCCGGGAAAGCAGCCTCGAGGAGGAGCAGGGGGTCGTGGCCGGAGGGGCCGGGGCCGGGGCTCCCCTCATCTCCCTGGAGCCAGAGACATCTCAACTTCTGACCGCAAATCCAAGGTAGGGAGCTGGCCAGATTTGAAGCCCTGGTGCAGGGCTCTCCATTGCCTGCTTTGCTCTAGTCCTGCCTCAGATGGGTCGGTTCCACTCCTCCATCTCAATGTTGTTCTCTTCCAGCCCGCTCATCTGGCCCTTGCTTCCTTCGCTTCTCCTCGCCGCCTCCATCCTGGCCCAGGCCACGTGTCCCGTCCCTTTCTGTTCTCGCTCTCTTGGTGCGCGTCGGCCCGCCCGCCCTCTCTCCCTACCGCCTCCCTCCCTCCCTCTCATTCTGGCGCTGTTCCTCTGCTGGCGTGCTCACGCGCTCGGGCTCTGAGCAGTGCTCTCTCTGGGTCTCAGTACCTGGGTTTGTTGACGGGGGGCAGTGGCTCCGTGTACCTGCTCCCCCAGCCTCGCAAACCAGGGCAGCAGGCCGTCTGGCCCGGGGTGGGGCGGGCGTGGTAGTTTAGTTGGGAGCTTCTAGTTTGCACTTTCTCAAGAAGGTTAGTAATTAAGTGCGAAGGTTAAGAGAGACTGAATATTAGGAATTACTTTTGTTTTTTAAGAATTCCTTTATTTAACTTTATTTATTTACTTTTTAATTTGACCAAAGAGGGACAAAGTGAGAGAGAGAGAAAGTGAGAAAGCAAGCCACTAAGTCCAGGACTTGAACCACGGTTGGCCATGTGGGAGTCCAGCGCTCTTAACCAACATGCCACCTGCTGGCCCCATTGTTATTTTTTTTATTATTATTATTTTTTTTGAGAGGTTTTTGCTATAGGGCATGTGCACTTGCCAGACAGACAGAGAGATAGCAAGCGAGAAATCACCCCCTAGGAGGGGTGGCCACACCTCAATCCCTTTTCTATTCTCCTTTCGGGATCTTGGGCACGCACGCACACGCACCTGGCGTGAGTTTTAAGCCACCGGGTCTGGGACGCAGGCTGCATTCGACTACATGGGAGTCCAGCGACATAGTCATTACACTAACTGCTGGTCCCTATTATTTTTAATTTGACCAGAGAGAGAGAAAGGGAAAGTGAGAAAGCAAGCCACCAGGGGACTCGAACTGTGGTTGGCCATGCAGAAGTCCAGCACTTTAACCACCACACCCCACCTGTGGTTGGCTATATGGAAGGCCCAGCACTTTAACCACTGTGTCATCTGTTGCCTCCACCCCATGGATTTTTTCAAGCCAGCAGTTCTGGAACTCAAACTGTCCTCAGCCATGTGGGATCCAGCTACCTTAACCTCCACATTACCTGCATGCCTAGTCCCCTGCCTTTATTTTAAAAAGAAGTTTATTATTTGTATCTTTCATGAGTGAGACAGAGGACCCCCAGCAGGGCCCTTTTTCTAAAAGTTTTGCAAGAGGGCACAGGGCACATGTGTTCTCCAGAGAGATGTGTTGAGGGGCGTGGAAGAGAGAGAAAGCACCCCTTCCCAATGGGGTAGGGTCATGCCGTAATCCCTTCTCTGTCTCACCTCCAGGATCTTGGGCACGCGTGCGCATGCGCCCATTGTGACCCTCAAGCCACAGGATCTGAGACTTGAACTGTGGTCCGTCATGTGGGAGTCAAGTGGCTTAACCACTATGCCATCTGCTGGCCCCCAACAGGGCCTTTTTATTTAAAAAAAAATATTTTTTAGAGACTTTTGTCATAGGCATATGCATCTGCTGGTCCCAATAAAAAATAATTCTTAAAAAAAAACTCATGGGACCAGCAGTTGGTGTAATGGCTGTGTTGCTGGACTCCCATGTAGCCGACCGTGGTTCGAGTCCCGGATCCGGTGGCTTAAACTCACGCCATGTGCGTGTGTGTTCATGCCCAAGATCCTGAGAGGAGAATGGGGGAGAACAGACTGTGGCGTGGCCATCCCCCCTGGGGGGGTGATTTCGCCCCCGCTCTCTCTCGGTCTTTCTGGCGAGTCCACGAGCCCTATAGTAAACCCCCCTCCCCCCCAAAAAAAAGAATTATTTTTTATTTAACTTTATTTTCCTCTTTTACTTTGACCAGAGAGGAACAGAGCGAGTAAGAGAATGAGAGGGAAAGTGAGAAAGCAAGCCACCATGTCTGGGACTCCAACTGCGAGTGGGAGTCTCATGCCCTTAACCATGACACCACCTGCTGCCCCCATCCCCACTGCCCCTGTGAGGTTTTTATTTATTTATTTTTTTTTTGAGAGGTTTTTGCTATAGGGCGCATGCGCTCGCCAGACAGAGAGACAGACAGAAAGCAAGAAATCACCCTCCGGGGGAATGGCCACACTGCAATCCCTTCTTCATCCTCCTCTTGGGATCTTGGGCACACATGCACACGTGCCCGGCGTGAGTTTAAGCCATCCGGTCTGGGACTCGAACCGCGGTTGACTACATGGGGGTCCAGCGACATAGCCATTACACTAACTGCTGGTACCCCCTCATGTGAGTTTTAAGCCACCAGGTTCAGGGCTGGAACTGTGGTTGACTACATGGGAGTCCAGCAACGTAACCATTACTCCATCTGCTGGTCCCAACAGGGCCTTTTAAAATGGCAATTTGGAAATTAGGGAGAGTGGTGGAGAGGGAGAGAGAGAGGGGGAGAGAGAGAGAGAGAGAGAGAAGGAG